GGGCCCGCCCACTCTAAAGCGGTACTGAACTGCAGTGGAACGCAAACCGAGCCGAACCGTTCCGTGCCGTGCTGAGCCGTGCCGAACCGAGTCGTACCACGCAGTGGAAAAGCGCCATAAAAGTACTTAATTACTACTAGGGTTGCAAAAAGGTGGAAAATTTCCAGTAAATTTAGTAAATATTCCAGAAATTTTGGAAAGTTTCCGGAAATTTACCGATGATTAGGTGAAGCCGTGGGTTTCAGTTACAAAGAAATTATAATTTTCCAAGCTATATTATTTAGAAATCACAGAACAGTGTCTGCTTTAGAATGAGCAGAAATGCAGAGGAATAGGTTTAAAAATAAATTTTAACCAATGATTGTTCAGTTCTTCTTTTTTTAGGATGTTCATGTAATGACGTTTTCCCTCCCAGTTAAGAAAACAGCATTTCCTCACTATAGCGAGGAATTACAAGGCCTCTTCACGTCTTTATAACTACCTTTATTTGATGGCAAGCCAAAGCAGCAGCTGACGGGCATTATATGTGTATGCAAATGTGTTATAAGGTGACGCAGCTACATCACGGAAGTAATAGCTGGACTACAAACGAGATGTTTCAGGTGGTTGTCTTCTGTTGGAGAGAGTGACGGGTCATTCATGAACAGTTCGTTCATTGAGTCTGTCATGTGACGAATGAATGCAAATAAATAACTTCTCTTTGGTTGCAGTACAATGATTTTCTAATTCAGAATATGATCGAGATCGTGTAGGACATGCTCACCTGCTTAACTTGGAAGCAGGACCTTCTAAAGGACTGAGGATTATACACTACTAGGGTTTTGTGTCATTCCAATCACAACCTCATGCCGACATTCTAATAAGAATCAAATGAATTCAGAATGAAAACCTACCTGTTTGTTCCTCGATTTCTTCTCGTTTCAGACTGACAGTTTCTTCGATCATTATGTCTTCACTCTCCTCTTTAATAAACTCCATCTTTCTGTGCGTTTGAACACTGTCATGATTAAGGTGAGAATAATTAACCGAAAGTAAGGTAAACCCAAACTAGATCTCTGGGGTGTCTCAATCAGCTCCCTAGTTCAGTAGTCAGCACACTAGTAAGGGAGCCAAAACAAACCACTCAAAACAAGCATTACAAACGAAAAAAAAAACACAAAGTTTACATTAAATTAATTATGTTTTATATTTGTTATTGCATGACAATTCACATTCCGCGTTTTTATCAAAACATTTGCAGGGTTTTGTTCTCGTAGCATTTACACTGCGATTCGAAATGGAGTCATTTAGCTGCAAAAACGATTCGGTTTAGTTTTTAAGAGCTCCGTTTCTCCATCACTACTTGCTACGTAGCGAATTCGTGTTTACAATGAAGTGGTTCACTACATAGGGAGTGAAATGAGACGCAACTTTTCCGTTACTCAAGTGCGGATGCGCTTAACTAACACAAAATTACGCTCTTTAAATGTTAGGTAAAGTATTACGTTGTTAAATCCAATAACAGTTTACTCATTTCAAAGTGTTCTATAAAACTGTCTGAACGCGTTGTACTGATTTAAACACTTCAGATGATTAAAAACACAAACCTTCCCTCAGCACGATTACAGAAATTCACATGCAAAAAAATAAATTAATATGATAAGATAGAGGATTGACTCAAGGAATGAATCACAGATTCCCAAAGCTATAAATTAATATTTTATTTATTTAAAACTGAATCCCTACATAAATGTATAATATTTTAACCAAAGCATGCACATAACTTCTTAATGTTGCATAAGTGGGCATAAATGTTGTGATATTAGCTAAGTTAATGTTTTGAGAACAAAATACCTGGAATATCCAATGACACGTGTGGGAAATAAGTATTTCAATCCATACAGCATCACACCTACATATCATGCAGTTACCAACAATATGGCATTATGGTATTTATTATTAATGTCACTATTCTTATAGGCTATTTATATTAAACATGGGGTAATATAAATGAAATTAGACTTTTATATAGATTATTTCAGTTTCACGTGTTAAAGATATGTTTCATTACAAACACTATAGTTTATTATTATTGTTGTTGTAACTTTTGCCTGGTTCATGATCTTACTAATTCTACAGTTAACCCTGGATTCAAGAATTACAGTAATACAATAGATATAATTTGTATAATATTAATTCATGACTATACATCGTCCATCATAACGGTGACACATTTATACATAGAAAACCGAAAACTGTACATTTGTAAACTGCACAATTGTAAATACCATATTTGTACATTCATTTACTTCTGTATATAGTGCATGATTTAATTTACTGTTTTTCCTATGTATGTCTGCACTACGTCTGTACTTTCTTCTGCACTGGAAGCTCCTGTCGCCAAGACAAGTTCCTTGTGTGTGTAAATATACTTGGTAATAAAGCTCTTTCTGACTTCTGACCAGAGCCCAGTGTTGCCAATTTAGCAATTTTGTTGCTAAATTTAACAACTTTTTCTTCCAAAAGCACCTAGCAACAAATTTAGCCATTTAAAACATTTGGCAACCTTTGATAAGTGACTCAGACAATAAAAGGACACACATTTTCCATCCAAATTTCACAAACAGAGGAAACCAAAGATGCCTAGCAGTACACACATCACGTGAATTGAGTTAGCTGCTATTTGCAATTGTTCAATTTAATAATAATTGAATAATTGTTCATTTATGATACTCTTTGTTAGTAGCTTGTACCTGCGATTGTTGTTCAGTTAGTACACTGTAAGAAAAATGGAAAAAGATACTAGTAATTTTCCAGGACATTATCCAGTATCCGTTGTAACCCTGTAACCCGAAAACACAATGCGGAATTTAAAATGCAGGTAAAAAAAACAATACGGAAAATTATTTCATATTAACATAGTAGATCGTGGCCTATATTTACAGACTTTTCTTAGTGTAGCATACTAACTAACTCCTAATACTCTGCTTAATGCATAATCATTGAGAGTGTGTAGTATTACTAGTTTACTAGTTATTTTAAAAACTTAAATTGTAATCATTCAAAAATGTGTAAGTGTTCAATAATTCAATGTATTTAAAAATAGTTATTTATATTTAATTATATTGTGCATATTATTTTACAAACAAATCTAAATGAACATATACAAAATATAGTTTTTTTGCTGAGATTTGATGTCGTGACACACTTTTGCATCGTGATTACGCAATGACGTCATCGCACAATGACATGACAACGTCATTTAGCAACAAATCGACCTTCCTTTAGTAACTTTATCTGAAAATTAGTTGGCAACACTGCCAGAGCCGGCCCGACCTAATAAGCTAAATAAACGGTTGCATAGGGCCCCGTGTCAGGGTTCAGACAGTAATGCTCGGTATTCGGTCATAATAACTTTGATAAAGTTTCAGTCGCGCGTGTCAATGTTTGAAAATGAAGAGGCAGCACTATAAACTGGGGCTAAAAAGTGGAAACTGAATTGTGGGTCCGTCGCGACACGTTGGGTCCATTGCTCGCGGCAGAACTCGCGGCCAATCAGATCGCTTTATGCAAATATACTAGTGCAGACGCTAGCCAATCACGTTCGTGCAACACCAGAGAATAGCGGTATGTCAAAATGGAGGAAAAGCTTATTATCGCGGCCGATAGTCACCCGGTGCTTTCTGATCAGTCTTTATATACATACCGGGACTCGTACCGGAGGGACCAAGCCTTTGGTCGGCGGTTGGTGAATCTGCTGTGTATTGTGGTAGTATTGTATCCATTTACTCGGTTTATCAATGATTGACAGCTAGCGTAGTAAAGCATATAAATCGCAAAGAATAGCTTGTTTTTACTACATACGTCAATTGCATGATAGCATATCATGTAGGGTTCAAATTGTCACTATCCAGCAGTCAAATGCAGAATAATGAAATATTAAAGTGATTAGATTTTCCATTTCAGGGAATGGTTTATATGAAATATGCAGGACCAGGTGGAAGTCGTTGGGAGATGGAGCAGGAGCAAACCATGGAGGTTGCGGACAGGGGTAGGAAGAGAAAGAGACAGCATATGTCAGTTTTTGAGAAAGGACTGTTGGCAGCAATTGAGCCACTGACACAGCTCACCACACTAGCTATGTTTCCATCACCCTGTTTTAATGCGCGTTTTGAAGTATCGCATGAGAAACGAGTGATGGAAACGCCAAATTTTAAAAGGAAATCCCTTAATTCGCAAAAAAGTTTTTACGCTCGCTTGAGGTGGTTTTTGACTTGTGCAAAAAAGGGTTAATGCGAATAATGGAAGATGGAAACGCATTTTGCGAATAAATCCCGCATGAGCGTGCAAAAAAGTCACGAAAGGAAATCCCTTAATTCGCAAAAAAGTTTTTACGCTCGCTTGAGGTGGTTTTTGACTTGTGCAAAAAAGGGTTAATGCGAATAATGGAAGATGGAAACGCATTTTGCGAATAAATCCCGAATGAGCGTTCAGAAAAGTCATGTGACTTTGCGCTAAGGGACGGCATAACCTGACTAACCAGCGATTTAGACCGATTTAGTTGCACAGCCTCTGAAATGGAAATGGAAGGTCTGCGTTCCCAAACAGCTGACATTCACCTCCGAAAGCAAGACCGCATTTAGTGCGTTTCGTCTGCTCACTCAAAGCGCAAGTAATTTATTATATTTGAGAATTATTATATTCAGTGGCTTCTCTTACTTTTCTCAGTGATATTTAGTGGCAGTTTATCAGGAAGTGACGATTTTGTTCTCTCTTGACTCGTTGGATGGGAACGGTGCTTGTTCGCAAATGTTTTATGTGATATTCCAATGTTGCGCACAAGTTAAATTCGCAACTTTGAATGGAAACCCGGCTACGGTCACCTCAGATCTTCTTTCGAAGCCTCTTGCCCTCAATTCGCCGTCTTCCTGTGTCAAGGAGAGCAAGGTTGCGTTTTGAAATTCGTCAGCTGCTTTTTTATTTTTCTCTTTTTGCTCTACATTTAACTTTTTACACTCACGTCAGTACATTGTCAGTTTTCTCATTTTTTCTTCACATACTTATCTACATTTACACTCACGTCACTACATTTTCGTAATTTTTCTCTTTTTTACACCCACCATTGCACACATCAGTACATAAATATAAATACTACAATATTAATCTTACGGTTGTACTGCGTTTTCACTTGTTCATATAGAGCAGGGGTGCCCAAACTCGGTCCTGGAGGGTCAGTGTTTTGCAGAGTTTAGCTCCAACTAAACTTGCCTCAACACACCTGCCGGGAAGTTTCTAGAATGCCTAGTAAGAGCTTGATTAGCTGCTTCGGGTGTGTTTAATTGAAATTGGAGCTAAACTCCAGGACCGAGTTTGGGCACCCCTGATATAGAATAACAGCATTTATATAACAGCTCTTTATGGTTGTGGTTTCATACAAGGTATGTATTGCTGCGTTCAAGTCCTCCTGGGACGTTCGTACGTACGAGTTGACAAGTCGTAATTACGACGTCAGGTGCGGTCAAGTCAGTCTAGTCGGCACAAGATGGCGGTGTACCTAATTTTAATAAATTACAAGAAAATACAACAGGGTCTGTTAACTCTGCTTATAGAAAATGAAGAGCAAAGAATTCGCATCAGGTGTGTTTTGCGTTTTTAATATATTTTTTTAGACTAGGATCCCAGTATAACTGATTTTCAGCATCATGTTTCTCACTGACACGCCCCCAACTCGGAAACTCGGGGTTTAAAGAAAATTTCTAGTTTCCCCACTCGTAATAACGACTTTGTGGTGGCGTTCATACGATCTATCCGACATGACTTGAACGCACCTTATGGAAGCTTGTTTCCTTCATGGAGAGTAAAAAATAAAAAAAGGCAATTGCAACTTTATATCTCAAAAATTGGCTTTTTTTCTCAGAATTGCGTGATGTAAACTCACAATTGCAAAAGTGGAAAAAAATGTGTCAGAATTGTGAGATCAAAAATTGCAATTACCATTTATTAATATATATTTTTTTTAATTTAGTGGCAGAAACTAGCTTCCATAGGTATGTCTACACATAATACAATCACTTAAATATTTACCTATAGATGCCAGTTTTACAAATTATGAATTAATTAGTAGAAAACAGAGCTGAATGGGCAAAGGCTGTGTACTTTATGGCACATGGAAGTGAAATATAAAACAATCAGTAATTAAGGGAAACGCGTCTTGGGAAGCCAGTGGTTGGGCGTTGGCTGAAGATGCTGAGTTGTGGGCCGGTTGAAGTTTTGAGGCGGTCACAGACTCGAGGTGAACTCAGAGACACGGCGTTAACTTAATATTTGGTCACTTAGTTACAACCAATAGCTGCAGTTCTGCCTCCAACTCAAGTCTCTGTAAAATTATACAAAGCACAGTGGATGAAAAACATGCTAAATTCTTAGTGCAAAGAGTTGCTCCTAGTGACAAAATTCTAAGAAAATTCTTAGAAATGTGGGCGTTTCCTCTTAAAATTAAAGAAAAGATCCTAGTAAAGAAGAAAGTAATTCAGAAAGCATTTTAAATCTTAAAAGAGCTCTTCAGGACCATAATTGTTAGGAGTACTGACGAGGGCTTTTAAGAGGCTTAAGAGTTTCTCTAGCAGTGGAGAAAATCAACGAAACTTGAAGAGCGAGAAGAAATGCGTTGCAGACAACGCATGACAGTGAGTTAGTAAGACACTACACATTATATCGTGCAGTGATCAGATCATGTTTGTGACCGATATTATTAGAGACACGCTAACATCTCGGACACAGTTTAAAAATGCCATAGTGCCAGAAATGAAAGTAATCACTACATTAACTACGGCCACGTTCACACTCAGTTTTAGGGATTGACAACTGCATTTCCTTACAGGTGTGAGTCTCAAAATGTCCCGTTCAAACAGCAGCTTACAGTAGTCACCCCCATAAATAACTATATTGTGTGAACGTAACCATGTTAAGGACTCAAATACAGGACTGACAACCGTATTCTGCTGCTGTGTGTATACGTGGCTGTACATTATCATATTTGGCAACTGGAAAAATGCAACTGTGCAGCAGTGATGATTTGGGTCTGTCATAACCTTCTACAAGCATACATAACCTTCTATATATATACACACACACACACATAATGTCTGTGTGAGAGAGAGAGAGAGAGAGTACAGTAAAACAGGAAAAATTACACCTGTAATTTCAAAGTGAGGGTTTATAATAAACCCTAAAGCACTCTTTTTTTTTTTTTCTCCTTCTTGGACAACCAACCAATCACAGTCTTCAAAAGACTGTCATACGTAACAATGGGGTCAGAAAGTTCTCTTTTCGTTGCTTACAGTTGCTCCCCGATTAGTCCTGAATTGCTCTT